AGGGCGGGAGGCGTTGCTCATGAGTGGGGTTGTTGGTTGCTGATGTGCGCTCATTTGGGATACAAGTAGGGTTTTTTTTGTTCGGTTTTTAAGATGTCCGTTCTTTGTGTTGCTTGATATCTCTCTTGAATAGGTTGTAATCAAGGTCACTAGTTTTTTGTATCAGTCCTGTATTGTTGCGTGAGTGGCGTCTCCAAACAATGGAGACAAAGGATAGATTCGATCTAGATTTTTTAATTGGTAGGAGTGCTTTCTCGAGGAGGTCGATTCCTCTATCAGGTGTTAGTTGTCACAGCTGCTGCGGTTATGATTGACTTGCTGGGCAGGGTGCTAACATATCTAAGGTCAGTGTGTGTGTTGCTTGTTCTTGTCTCCGCTTCTCTGTCTTCGATGTTTTATGATGTGCCCCCCCATGACCTATTGGTTTCTAGAATAAAGAGCGATATCACAAGCGAGGCTAGAAGAATTGGTATTTTTGTCTTGAGCAAAGTTTGGTGTGTTCTTTTTCTGGTTTATGGATTTTCTTCACCAATGTTTCTGTTTGTTTGCTGAGGGTACATGGTCAATTCTCTGCACATTTTAATACCATCTATAAATTTTACACCCATCACACCGAAATGCACGAGCATGATTTAGATATGCGTTGGTGGGATCATATAAATGTGGATGATTTATTGAAGGGAATAGCTGAACGCCTTAGAGCAAATAGTATGCCCCGCCTTGGCATAGATATTTTAATCTTGTGTGTTGGCTGCGCCTTCGCTGGAGATGCTTCATGAAGATACAATTTATCTATGTGTATGCTCAACGGGCTGATGTGTATGGCTGGTTCTGCTGTCCGCCCCCCACTGCCGGTCAGCCACGCATATATCTGGTCTTACATTCACCCTACAGACTACTATGCGGCATCTGCACTGAATGATGATGGGATATAAGGAATTGCTTTTCTCGGGTTGTGCAGGGTTGTGTCATTGGCATTTAGTTATCAAAGTTTTTGAGTGGTGGTTATTTAGGGGTTGTGTGCTTAAGATTGATGTTTAAGGTGGATTTGTTTAAGGTTGTAGTTGGCTGTGTTGTGTGCCAGGATGTGGTGTGTGTTGAGATTGGTTTGTTGTGTTTGTCTGCCAGAAGTGGAGGTCAGCTGGGATGCGGGTGTGTGGGTGCCGTCTTAGCGTAGTGCTGGCGTTTGGTGGGGGGTGGTCGGTTGGTGTGCGGTTTTTGTTAGGTAGTGATTTTAATTTATGCTTCTTCCGTTGATCATCTTGTCGGTCATTTGTCTTGTGGGTGAGTATGGTTTTCTGGTTGTGATGGGGGTGGGTGCGTTTGGGTGAATGAGTTTTATAGCAAGGATGTTGTCCAGGCTTTGCCAGTATGTCGTGCGAGCGACGTATTTGAAAGTCTGTTATCGATGACGCTAGCGTCTCGCGCTGCGTGAGTGGGCTGCCATCGAGTGGTATTCGACTGCGGAAGTGGCAGTGTGTGTTGTGGTTGGGGTGAATGGACGAGGTGCAGGTACAGGTGTGAAGAGAGGGGCATGCGGATTGTTTGACTAGGAGCGTTTTGTGTTTTGCCGCTCGGTTAGAACGGCTTTGCCTGTTGTGGCCTAGGCGCGTTGCCAGATTTGCTTCAATTCTCACGCTCTGGCTGTTAGACTGACGGGGCGCAAAAGTGATGTATGAG